TAGTTGTGTTTGAATTTTAAGGACAAAATTCCTTTAAAGGAAGGGAGAATTGTAACATCCTGAATTTTAATCCAAAAACTAGTTGATAATTAGGGATAAATTAGTAATCAGTGGATTGATCATGGTTGGGATATTGAGTTGATATTTCATGTTTAATGATTGTTATGTTAATAGGACTGAATGGTAGAATGACAATATGGGACAAAACACGTGAGCACAAGTAAGGTTGAACTCACTGTGCCATGCACTACAATAGAATTTGCATATACTAGGGTAGAATGTGCAGAAATTAGTTCAAGATGACATGATCAGCTTGTGAAATTAGAAGGAAGAAGTGAGGAAAATGCATCTAAGGAGGTGGAGAAGCTTGGCTCTACTGGGGCTTAAATTATCTAGTCATTGGGAGTCAACTTCGACTAGTGACTTATCAAGTAAGTATTGCATAGTCCTAAGCTTCATTTCAACCCTATTTTCATTAAATTTCTTCTGTTGAGAAATTGAACCAAGAAGTTTTAAAGTATTGGAATCTAAAAGAAAGGTTTAAAAAGGGCTATCGAATATGAAACTAAGGTTTTGTGACTAATATAGAGTTGAATGGTTGAGCTTAGCCTAAAAGTTAGGTTAAATGGTGAAAATTGCTTAAATGAATATATTAGGAGGTTGTTTTGGTCATTTGAATAGTCTATAATGCTAATGACTATAGATAGTGGACTTATGAATTCAAAAGGTGTCAATTGGACTAGTTTGTGTGTTAAGGGATTCGGTTCAGCTAAATCAATGCTTATATGAAATGTTGAGAATTGATTGAAATTGAGCACCTATGACATTGCTCATGGGAATCTACATGCTTGGGAATCTATAGTGATTGGTAACCGTTAGTAGTAAGGGTAAAAGGTAACTGGAGTAACCCTTTTACTTGTTCATTTGTAAAATTATTTACAAATATTTTTATATATCTATGTGCATTGTGTTATGAAATATAGAGTACTAATATTGTGAAAGAATATGCATGCAGATGTGTCAATAATATATGAAATGAATTTGAAGGGACATATGCAGACATGTGCATTGCATCCGTGAGTATACCCTAGATTATGGTAGGAAGATGCGGCCTTACTTTGAGTAAGTCCAGGAAGACGTTATGATTAAGAGTGTAGAGCTTGACTTCGCTAGGACAGACCTAAGAGATCTTAATGATACAAAGCATAGAGCTTAACTCCACTACGATGGACCTAACATATGGAATGATCCACAAGTATACCCTTGACTAGGATAAGGGGTTATGGTCCTACTTTGCATAAGGCTAAGAAGTCTTGAAGATCCTAAGCATAGAGCTTGACTCTACCATGATGGACCTATGAGACCACCCATATATGAAGAGGATTACCTGGTCTGAACAAAGGTATGGTGGGCCCTGTTCTATGTGACTGGAAGTCCTGGTCCAACATAGAGATTGCTTCGCTAGGTGGAACCAGGAATGCATTAGCATGAGCATGATGAGATTGATAAGAATGAATTCCTATATATGCACATGACATTGTTTTTACAAAAACACATGCTACTTTATCTCTTGTATATGCATATGATTTTTCTTACTAACTGATAATTGAGGTTATATCCAAGTTACTAGGACATATGTCTTACTCTGTTACCTTTGTACATAGATAAAGAGAGTACGAAAAGGCTGGAAAAGGAAGCGAGGAAAGAGTAGGCTCGATTGATAGTGATATGACTACCATTAGTGTAAATGAATGTATAAAATTGTATCTAGAATTTGAGTTGCCAACTTGAATACAAAAGTGTATGTGAAAGGAAAATATGAATTGTGTTGTGAAAACTTTCTTATGTATATATATGTATATGATATTGCATCTCACCGAGGGTGCCCCAGTGAAGGGTACATGTATGTTGTTTTGTAACTTGTTCCACATGTGTGAATGTGGATTGAATGAGAATTGAATGTGGATTTATGTGTATATGTGAGAACTTGACACAAATGGTGAGGCTGAGCCCTATTTAGAAGAGTTGAGTATATTTGTAATTTCCGACCATAATAAAAATAGTAAAGGAGAAGTTGAGATAGAGCTATATATTAAAGACATAGATAGCCCATAATCTGATAGTTCAAATTAGAAGGAAAATCTTCATGGATTGAGTATTGAAAAATAAATAGAAGAAAAAGAAACTATTGAGAGACTTAAATGAAAAGATCACATATTTGGAAGGGTAAATCTTCATGTAATCAATACCAGTATTGCATGCTTAACTCTGTTTTGAAGTCCAAAAAACAGAGCAATACAATTCTATATTTGAAGGACACCAAAGTGGTGTAAATTTCACAAAACAATTCATGTGCTTGTAAGTGACAAATCTAAATGTGTAACTGAGGGCTCTAAAGTACAATGATCATTGATGGTGAAGATATAAATGTAAATAATGCCTTTCTTGTTGCTTGCAAGAGCATGAGAAGGTAGATAGCAAGAAATAGATAATGATGGGTTGTGATGTGAATGGGTTCATATTTTCAAATTTGGATGATCACCCAAAATTCCTTTAGATTATTGTTTGTCATATGATTAAAGAACTCAAATGAAAAGGACAAAAAAGAAAAACAAATGTTTCTAGTGGTGCTCATATATTTATTTAAAAATCTAAAAATATTTAAAAATATAAATATTATATTTTGTTGAAGGTATCCCTTGTAAATTATTCTCACTGAGGTCTAACATTTGAAGCATATTCAAACTCCCAATTGCTTTGGGAATATTACCTATAATTTAAAAATAAATTTTGCAAGGAAAAAAAAATTACACATGATAGATTTTAGTATAATAATAAAACTATAAACTCAAATACCAAAAACAATTAATGATGACATGGTCACATGAAAATATATAGTCTTAAAAAATTGAACTGGACTAGCCATTTTAATCAGTTGAATCGGAACTAGCACTTGGCCAATTTCCGTACAACGGTCAAAACTGGATCCAAAAAGTGATATAACGTTGCAAATGAATTGTTACATAATATACGATGTGGTTAATTATTATGCATTACCAAAAAAATAAAATCAACGGCCAAATTTTGAAGTCTCTTTATCTTTTCCTACGCCTTTGCCCTACACCTCAACTATAAACAAATCTTGCACTATGTGTTGAGGAATATGTTTGCCTCTTTTTTAGCCCATAAAACAGATATGTTGATTCTGGTTTATAGGGACTAAAGTGTGCTATTTTCCAATTTATTAATTCCTGTTTACAGTTTAAGGAAAACCATTGACATGGAGATTTTATATTTTAATATTGATGTAGATATTAACATTTTCATACAAGTGATTATGTTCCAACTGACAAAAGAAGAACAAAAAGGAATAAAATGATTGATAGTACCAAACTATCATTTATTAATAGTATATCAAATTTCCAATGCATCTTTATGTTGCCAAACAATTAATTAAAACCCAAAAATGAAGTCATCAAAAGTGAAAATGAATAAAGGATAATATACTAAACAAATGCCAAACAAACTTTCCTGATACAAAGAGATAGATTTTGTGATTTTAAATTTCATGAAATGTGTTAAAATGATGCAATATAACTTTATGAGATGATTGATAATATAAAAAAGAAAAAAAACAAGACCACTGACTTTTGGAATGTATTCCATGAGAAGATAGTGCTATAAATGAGGGAGTTAACTAGAACATGCAAAATCTTTTTACATGTGCCTCTATTAAACTTGCAAAAACTAAAATACCTTTTGTAAATTCAATGGGAAAAAATAAACATTATATTTCAAAATTAAAAACATGCTGTTCAATATAAATTAAATATCTTGAATCGTAACACAATTCACAAGCCAAATACATCATATTGGCTTTTTATACAATATATAGTATATATGAATACATTTTGATAGAAAAAATATAATATGTCATTTAAATTTCACTTATATTTTACTTTATCACTATACTGAAGGTTGTTGAACAATTTTTCAGGAAAATATAACATCCAAAAGACTATGTATAAAATATTTAAAGTACATTTTGTTAATATCTTTCTAAAATAAATATACTTAATGAGTATATATATATATTTTAAGATATGCCTGTTCAAATTTTAGTTTGTCCAAATAGATTGATCCATGCAATGTATAGAAAGAAAAATGTTATGTTGTAGTGCAATTGAATTAAGAAAATCAATGATAATTTTATTAACACTTGATGTCTTTGATATGAAATATCAACACATTTTGAACGTTGCCTCACACCTAGAATTCTAGCAATAGTAATATATAAAAAAAATAATTACACAGGAATTTAAATTGACAAATTAATGGAAGTTAAAACTGGAATTATAGTAAATATCTCAGTAGCTAGCATAGAGTGGTGACGTAATCTAATAGAAATGTGAATTATATTGCTGCTCCTACTGTAAAACTTTTGTAGTGCCACATATTATATATGGTTCATTTTATCTGACTTTAAAACTAAAGCATTTCAACAAGTCTCTAGTTCTAACCAATGTTTGCAAATAGTAATTAAAAAGAATCATTCATGTATAAAAATAAAAATTCTAGAACACACAAATGTATAACCAACAGGAAAAAGTATATTAGCTATAACATCATAATTTGATGAAAAATTACCTGGTATATTGGCTTAAAAAAATTAACTCTTAAATATATAAAAAATTTAAATTTGTCACACAGCAGTTATATTGAGAATATTTTCTATGTATTTGATAAATATATAATAAAATTTGTCTAATGCTCCAAGTGTTCATGCATGGTAAATCATTTTTAACAAATCTAACTTTTAAAATTTAAAAGAAATGTTTCGGGATCATCCTTTTAATTTTCTATAAACTTGTTAAAGAACGACTTGGAGACACTTTCTTCCAGGGGACATATATATTTATATGATATAGCCCGTCTCAAAAAATAACTCAAATATGATAGAAAATTACACATTATGTGATTATGATTAGTTGAAAGCATACCTTCAATGTTATTTCCACTAAGGTCTAGCTCTTGAAGTTTTGTCAACTTTCCAGTATTCCTTGGTATTTGGCCGGACAACTTGTTAGCACCTATAGATATAATTTTCAAGTTTGATAGGTCACCAATTGTTTGAGGAATATTTCCTGCAATATGATAATAAAAAAAAACCACATTATTATGAATTCTCATGTATAAGATTATGATAAAAGAAAAATAAGTAACAAACATAATTTTATGAATGTTCTTTTTTTTAAGTTATTGTGATTATGATATAATAACTCGTGAATTTGTATTTAAAAGAAACTAGTGTCCGGAAAAATAATGAAGTTCTTAAACCAAACAAAATTGTTTTGTATATAACCTCTAAATTGTCAACAAAATATTATAGGACAAAATAATTCATTAGCACAAATATACAAATTTTTAAATTGTACTTGTTTATTATAGAGCATAAATGATTAGATAAATACAAAAACAAAAACTCAAATATGATAAAAAGTTACACATTATGTGATTATGATTAGTTGAAAGCGTACCTTCAATGTTATTTCCACTAAGGTCTAGCTCTTGAAGTTTTGTCAAATTTTCAATACTCCTTGGTATCTGGCCAGACAACTTGTTAGCACGTAGATATATAATTTTCAAGTTTGTGAGGCCACCAATTGTTTGAGGAATATTTCCTGCAATATGATAATAAAAAAAGCTACATTATTATGAATTCTCATGTATAAGATTATGATAAAAGAAAAATAAGTAACAAACATAATTCTATGAATGCTTCTTTTTTTAAGTTATTGTGATTATGATATAATACTTGAATTTGTATTTAAAAGAAACTAGAGTCCGGAAAAATAATGAAGCTCTTAAACAAAACAAAATTGTTTTGTATATAACCTCTAAATTGTAAACAAAATATGATAGGACAAAACAATTCATTAGCACAAATATACAAATTTTGAAATTGTACTCATTTATTATAGTGCATAAATTATTAGATAAATAAAAAAAAAGGTGCATTGTTCCGTGCTTGAATTGTTCTGTGCAGAAATGGTGGAGGGAGAATGATATAGATTACGAACGGAATTAATGGTGTTTAACAAGAGTAAACAAGTAAGTTTAAACTGCTAAGATGCACCTTTCAGAATCTTTGATATAGTATTTTTTTAAAAGAGTTAAAAATAAAAATTAAATTGTGTACTTTTGAAAATTTTGTGACGGCTTATGTAATGTTAATAAAATTAAATATAAATGAATATATTTCACTCTACAAATAAATCATAAATAATATGAAAATTTTCTAACAATATATATCAAAATTCGCAAAACACTTTGATCATAATGACTCACATATATAAAAAAATTAGAATAACCAAAAATAATTATAACATAAAAAGGGGTGAAATAGTGTATATTGTGTGTATATATATATATAATATTAATAAATTATTAAATTTGTTGAATTTATATCATTATATCACTTCTAAATCATTAAAATGTGAATTCATTTTATATTATTTAGAAATTTTTTTATTGAAGTACATTTGTAAAGTCAATATGTTGTTAATATTTATATATTTGTATTTTTAAGTTTTATATTCTTGTACTTCATCTATTTTCTAATATAACATTTCTCTCAAATCATAAAATTAATTTTTAAAATATTGATAAAAAATTAAAAAATAAAATTCAAATGAAGATTGCCTAAATATATAGTTATCTTTTAAAAATGTATGGTTTATGCCATCCGTACATAAAATCCTTGTGTGTGAAGAGTTGTTAGTTTCATAGATTGATTACACTTATAGGGTAATTCAAATTCTAAAATTAGTCAAAACGGTAATGGTTATTGAGGGGTATATAGTAAATACTAAATAGTTTAATTCAAGCCAAACAGAAAAAGCTTGAAAGCTAGTAATGAATATTTAATTAATTTCTACCCATCATATGTTTGATTTATTTATTCCAGTGGCTGGCCCCTATATGATATGGCTTGAACTTTTTCTTTTGATGTTTTATACCAAACATTTAAAGCCTAATATTAGATCCTACAACAATAATTATAAGATTCAAAACCAGTTCATCTGATGAAATACAGAAATTAATATATTTTAAAGAAACCTGCTATGAGAGGAAATCTATCTTAATTTTATATTTTATTACTTTATGTATTCTACTCTATTCAGCAAGTGGGCTGTTTTATCACTTCCTGTATTAAATGAGCTGCAAGTAAATTTATCCTTATAGGGAAGGAAACTGCAAGCTTATATTTTTTTTTTTTTTTATGCTTACTTCTTATTGTTGCTTCTATAAAAAGCTGCCATGCAGCACATGTAAGAGAGTTCTTAGACCTTTTGATGATGAATGAATACTAGAATATGAAAGCTCTCTCTTTCTCCCCTCTTCGTCTGCCTCCTTCCCCTCCACTGCTCTGCCTTCATCTTTCTAATTTCTTCATCTCTTTGTATTCTGTCTTTTCTCTCCCTCCCTGTTCTTGATCTCTCACTCTGTTTCTGTTATACCTTTTCCTCTTTTCTTCAAATCAGTGCAAGCGTGAGTGTGTATGTGTCGCATCATCATCTAAAATATTAGGTCCCCTTCAATCAAAAGCTAGTTCCATGCCTTCTTATTTCTTTCCATGCATCTCAATTAAAACTCTAATGATGTCAATAGGCAAAATGAAAAAACACAAACATTTAAGACACACGAACACCTACAAAATTGTTTGAAATAATTTAGAGAAAATATAAAATTACCTGACATTATTAAAAAAAAAAAAACCTATTAAGGTGTTGTATGACAAAGACATCCGCTCAAGTGAAGATGAGTCAAAAATAGTTGGAGGTATTTTTTCTAAAAGATTGTTCCCTCTTACATGTAAAATCTTTAAATGTTGAAGCCTTCCAATCTCGAGTTGCATAGATCCATGGATAAAATTTAAGTCCAATCTAGTGTCTCTAATTTTGACAAATTTGATACACTTGGAGGAATAATGCCCTCAAAACTATTACTATGAAAAATCAGGTGCTGAAGAGCAAATAAACCTCCAATGCAAGCTGGAATTTTCCAATCAGCTAATTAACAGTAGGGGTTTTAAAAAGCAAAATTAAAAGTTAGGGGGTTAGTTTTAAAAGTTTAAAGGTGAGGGGGTTCATCTGCAATTGTCTCAAAGTTCAAGAAGGTTTAACGTATTTTTGCCTAATAATATATCATAACTTTTACCAAATCATAATCGATATAATGTATTCTTATTTAACTTTTAGAATAATTTTAAATAAAAATCCTAATTTTTAAATATTTTAAATTTTAAAATTAATTTAAAAAATGATAAAAATTGTTTCAATCCTAAATGAAAATAATGTATACTTAACCATTTAAATATGTATTATTTTGAAACTATTATTCAAAAATATTATACTTGAAATTCAAAATATTAATTTTTTTGAATTATATAGGAGTAATAAAGCCGAATCAAAAATAAGATAAAAATGAAAGTTGAAAAAATAAATGAGTTTTGGGTTAAGTGAAAAACAATACCTAAACTCACTTAGATTTTAAATTAGAAAATTTTCATTTAAATCCCGAGAAATTTTTATAGCAAGTTTCCAATGCTTTTTGGTTAATGACCTGAAAGAAGATTGACACTTATAGACACAATTAGGAATACTTTATTTATAGAACAAATTGTCTAATCCCATTAATAAATCACATATTAGTCAAGCAAAGGGTATTTCCAATATGTTCACATATTTTAAGAAAATATTGTTACATTGTTAACTTGTTAAAAACCATAAGGTTCCAATTCTACCCTTTTTAAATTAAAGGCATGACTCTAGAACCAAAAAAATTATTTTAAGAGAAATAATCCTCATTGAGCTTATGATATTATATGACTCAGGAACCTTCCATCTTAATCAATTTGCAATACCTTCCATATTACACACACACACACACATTTCAACTAATGATTTCACGTTGTCTTGCAATTACGCTTAAGAGTGGACATATATGTAGTCTAATTTTTTTTTTAATTTTTCAAAACGAAATCAGTGATAGAATTAATATAATACTTATGTGAAATTCATTAGTATTTGTTGGGGGACTTCCAAAATTGTTTAATTTAGCTATAAAAGAATATAAATGTAATTGAATTGATCGTAATATATTAATATAATTTTAGTTTTATGCATCAAACCAGTAAATTAAAAAATTTTAATGGGACTTGTTGTACTAATTTTGAAAGAATGAATGGCTCAGTTTTTTTATTTCTCCTAAACTTTTTTACTAATTGTTTAATTGTTTTACTAAAGTCGAGTTTCGATAAGATTATTGATATTGATTTTTTTTATTATAGTGGGAATGTTAAAGGTGTAATGAAGAACTTTCCATATCAAGCTAATACAGGATTACTAAAAAAACTGGCAAAGTGCACTAATAATTAATAACGGGGTCCAAATTAAGCGGTGGTGCAGGAATTAATGTGGCCTAGTTATTTCTTTGTTTTTTTTAATAGGAAACACAAGCTAAAAACCTAAAACTGACCTCATTATTTCTGTCTTGTTTATCCAAACCTTGTTCTCTATTTTGTGTTGAGATTTTATTATATTTATTGCAGCTTGGTATTCTCTTATGACTTAACATATGGTATCAAAAAATTAAAACCCTATAGTTTATTATTATTATTATTATTATTATTATTATTATTATTAAACTATGCACAAGTAATCCTTTATTGAAAACAATCTTATTTAAAGTACAATCAGACACTAAATATGAGTATAAACTTAGATTCATATCTTGGTTCACAACATTGGGAGTGGTACCTCTAATTGGACTTGACAATGTTTGAGTCTGAATGAATTAGATAGCCATGTAAAATTGTTGTTGTTGTTGTTGTTGTTCTATGTATATGTATATTGTGTAACAATAAGGCCTCGTAGATTGCCAAACCAAAATGTTGTTTTTGGGATGACAGGGCATGGGACTTCTAGAAGAAGAGAAATAATGAGGTGTTGAATGCAAGAGGTGGGAGTAAGAGAGATCATAGCAAGAAGCTCATTCCAAGACAATTTATGGCATCATAATGAGTTCTTCCAATTTCCATCACTTCCTCCACCAAAAAAAAAAAAATTGGCAAAGACCTTAGTTCTATTGAACACCAAATGGAAGACAAGATTAGATATTTTCAAACTCTAATCAATGACCAAATCAGTAACATGTTCCCTCCCATTACGAGAACCATAGTCAACCACCGAACTACAATTTTGGGATCTCAATGCTTAAGCTTTATTTTTGTAGATGTTGGAAATGTTTAGGTGAAGAAGGGGTGAGATGGTTAACTAAGTTATTTAATGTGATTTTACGGTCCAAGAAAATGCCTGATGAGTGGAGGAGAAGTACATTAATTCCTATTTATAAAAATAAAGGAGATATTCAGAATTGTACTAACTATAGAGGGATTAAACTCATGAGCCACACAATGAAATTGTGGGAGAAAGTAATTGAGCACAGGTTGAGATTGGAGACAAGTATTTCTGAGAATCAGTTTGGTTTTATGCCAGGTAGATCAACTACAGAGGCGATTTATCTACTAAGGGGATTAATGGAAAAGTATCGTTGTAAAGATAAAGATCTACACATGGTTTTTATTGATTTGGAAAAAGCTTATGACCGTATACCAAGAGAAGTGCTTTGGAAAGCGTTGGAAAAAAAGGGAGTACGGATTGCTTATATTAAAGCCATACAAGATATGTATGAGGGGGTAAAAACTAGTATAAGAACACCTAGTGGTCAAACAAAGGATTTTCCTATAAAGATTGGACTACATCAGGGATCATCTCTGAGTCCTTATTTGTTCAACTTGATTTTAAATGTTTTGACGGAACATATTCAAGAGGAAATCCCGAAATGTATGCTCTTCGCGGATGATATAGTTCTTATAGCAGAGACAAGAGAAGAGGTTAATTGTAAACTTGAGTTATGGAGGAGGACATTGGAATCGAAAGGTTTTCGTCTGAGTAGAAGTAAGACGGAATATTTATATTGTAAATTTGGTAAAGGAATATTCGACAATAATTTGAAAGTGAAATTGGGAGATCAAATTATACCTCAAGTGGTAAAGTTTAGATATTTGGGAGCCATTATTCAAAATGATGGCGAAATCAGTGGAGATATTTCACATAGAATTCAAGCTGGGTGGTTTAATTGGAGAAAAGCTAAAGGAGTTATTTGTGACCGTAAGGTGCCTAATAAACTTAAAGGAAAGTTTTATCGCACTGCTATCAGACCGGCAATGTTACATAGTAGTGAATGCTGGGCTCTAACGGGACAGCAAGAGCATAAAGTTGGAGTAGCAGAGATGAGAATGTTACGATGGATGTGCGGACATACACGTAAAGATAAAATTCGAAATGAGCACATACGTGAAAAAGTGAGGGTGGCACCTATTGAGGAAAAAATGGTAGAAAATCGGTTGAGATGGTTTGGACATGTACAAAGAAGACCAAGGGAGGCACCAGTGAGAAGAGTGGAACATATAATTTTGAGTCCGATTAAGAGAGGTAGAGGAAGGCCTAAGAGAACACTCTTGGAAGTTGTTGAACGCGATCTCTTAATTAATAATATTCCTAAAAGTTTGATAAATGATAGAGCACAATGGCGTCTTGCAATCCATGTAGCCGACCCCACCTAGTGGGATAAAGGCTTGTTGTTGTTGTTGTTGTTGGGTTTGATTGCAATTTTAGAAACATTAATGAATATAAATACCAAATTTTGATGGACAACGTTGATATGTTGAAGTTGATCCAATTGGGTCTTACTTTCTCTTTTATATATACACAAGGAAGGGTGGAACGTGGAAACGGGGCAGTTGGTTGCGAAGCCTGTTAAAAGCCTTTTGGAAAAAGAAAAAAAACAAGAAGAATTTAAAAATTATAAAATAATGCCTAAGTTTTATTGACTTTATGCTTCTTTCCAAAGTATGCTTTATTTATGGACTCTTGACTTTTTATATAAAAATAAATTGATTTGTTGAGGAGAATTTTTGTGTAGATGAAAATTAAGGAAGTCCACTTTGTTTAATGGTCTTGATCAAAACCAATGTCCAATGCATAAAAGTGCAATCAAAATATATTTGGTAAGATTGAATTTAGAGATTTGGCATAGTGGGCAGTACATACCTGTGAAGAAGTTGTCTCCTAATTGTAACTCTTTGAGTTCCTTGCATTGTGTCCAATCAGATGGTATAGCTCCAAATAATTTGTTGGCTTGAAGATCCAAAGCTTGTAAATTTGGAAGGCCATGACATATATTTGAGGGAATGCCTCCCGACAAATTATTCCAACTAAAATCAATCTCTTGCAACCCAGATATATTAAAGATAGTTGATGGTATTTGGCTTGAAAACATATGGGTGTCTAAAAATAAAATTTTTAGACTTTTAAGATTACCAATCTGTTCGGGAATGCTTCCTACAATGTTACATCAATAAAAGATCCATCAAATTTAGTGTAATCCACCAAAATATAACTAGATCTTGAAGTTGGGAATAAAAGAGAATCAAGTAAAATGCAAAATAACTTTTGAAACTATTGGTAACTTATTCTTTCTGAATTTTAGAATTAAGACAGTGTACAATAAGTATTAAAGCCAATTTGGGACCCTTGGCTATCTCATTAATGAGTTCGCCCCCAATATTGGCATTTGCTAATCATAATGAATTTAATATTTTAACTAACAAATGGCTGAAGAAGATAAAAGGTTATAATGCTCTTGGACCCCAATCATGTAGTTGCAAATTTGTTATAATGTTATTTCAAATAAAATTATATCTTAAGAATTTTGGTTCCGTGCAAATGGCAATTGAAGCTAATAGGCAAGAATTTTATTGGCACAATTATGACCAAAGTTGTAACATTCAAAGGTAACACATCTTATATATAATAACTAATAATTAATTTCATAGTCAATATATATATCACTTGTATTTATGATTTTGATTATTGGATTTTGGAATATATAAATCATACATTGTCAATGAAAATAGGCATTGAAATTCACATATTTAATTTTTTTTGGTCAAATCACATATTCAATTTTAGATTTGGCAAACAAAAAACTATGGGGTTAAGTAATGAACTTAAACTTGCTTTAATGTGTTGCCAAAAAAAATTGTTTTTAATCTCAATTAAACAAATATGATATATGTTAATGATGGGACACTTACAGTACTTCAACATTAATATATAATATTATCTCCAATATGCAATTATAATGAGGGTCTATATAATAATTATGTAAACCATAACTTTCCACAAATTTACCTTTATAAATTCATATCTACCACAAAATGAATCAGAATCATAAATTTGGCAAACAAGTTGAAGAATTAACTTGTAGGGCATAGGCTGACTCATTTTAAGGAGTCCAAGCTAAAATTATAAAGATGTTTGTAGCGAAGAAAAAGATTCTACAAGTCAACAAAAAAAATCCACCTCAGACAAACTTTAAAGAAAATTTATAAACAAGCATTCTAAACAAGCAATAATGGAAACCCAAAAAAAAAACGTGTTAAAAAAAGTGAGGGAACGAGAAGTCCTAGCTTGTAGTATTGAAAAAAAAAAATTCATTCTCAACAAAAAAAATTCCGCACGATATTGCCCCAAAACTTAGCATTCTAAACAAGCAATGAGGGAAAGAGAAATCCTAGTAGTATTAAAAAAAAGTGTTGATGTGGAAAACAAAAAGGGAGCTAACAAGGACAAAGACAAATTTATTCGTTCAATAGCTCTAATCTATCTATGAAGGGAATTAAAAGAAAAATCTTCATGAGAATAAGTGTAAAATAAAAAAGAAAATTAAAAAATTATAAAGAGACTCAAAAGAAAACAGCATGAATGGACTTCGAAGAGTAAATCTTCCTGGAATCAAGAATAGTTTTATATATTTACTTATGTTTTCAAGCCCAAAAAACAGAGGTAAAAATAGTAACACTTCCCTCTTTGATGGACACCAAAGCGTTGGAAATTTGACAACACAAATCTTGTGTATGTGAACTACAAATATGAATGTGTAGTTGAGGGATCTAAAGTATAACGATCAAAGATAATGAACATATAAATGTAAATAATGACTTACACATTGCTTTCAAGAGCACCAAAACTCCAAAAGGTAGAAAGCAAGACAAAAAAAAATCATGGGCACTTATGTGAATGGGTTCATATTTTTAATCTTAGAAGATCACCCATTTCCTTAGAATTATTGTTTGGGATATGATTAAAAAACCCAAATGTAAAAGGACAGAAAGGAAAAACAAATATTTCCAACAAAGGCGCTGATAAATTTATTTAAAAAGCTAGAAAATATTAATTAACATCTAGGGCCATTATTTTTATACTTGTAAGATTGCCAATTGTTTCAGGAATATCTCCTGCATACATGACAACATAAAAAAACACATCATTAAGAGTGATGATGCATTATAAATCGTGCGGATGCAATTCATGTGATAGGCATCCTACATGGAATTTGAGGGATGTTTTAGGTGGAAATGAATTAATCAAAACACATACTTTTTGTTTAAAAATACTTAATTATCACAAATATTAAGTATATCATGATTTCATAGTGTAATAATTTATTTTTAGAGTCATTAGAACTGTTTGTCATGATGCAAAATGAACCACATGAAAAGAAAAACATGCTTTTTTTACATGTGCTGAAGCTTTTCAATACATTTTATATAGACTGAAATATGGACTAAAGATTTAATTGGATGCAAAATGATTATAAAGAAATAAAGTTTTACACAATACTCCAAGTCACCAGTTTACAATAACAACTTCGTCTATTCCAAACGAACAAAATACTCCACAAGACATCCTTGCTAGCATTTCTAAAATTATTGGAAAAGGAAACTTTTTTTGGCCAACAAAAACTAAAGACTTATTTTTATGTTTAAATTGTTAGAAAAGAAAAATTCACTCATACACAAATTTATAAACAAAAGGAAAAGTAGGAAAAGAAAATGCTTTGTTGTTCATAGTAATAGTAAGAAAACAACTAGAGAAAAAAAAAACTATAGTAGGCAGAATATCATAACTTGATGAAAAAAAATACCTTGTAAATTATTATGATCAAGATATAGCTCTTGAAGCATATCCAATTTCCCAATTCCTTCAGGTATATCACCTATAAAAAAATAATTTAAGGCTTAAAGATATAGAATTTAAATTGGTCATAGATATATCTATTGAGAGAATATTTTCCAATTTATGTGATAAAGACATAAGAAAGATGGCTTATTAATCCTACAAGTGTCCATATATGATGAATCATTTTTGCCAAATCTAACCTGTAGTCCCTTATTTCCAGTCACCGGGGCCGTATGTGTGTGTGTGTGTGTGTGTGTATGATGACATGGCAGCTGAATGAAATTCTCTTTTCCTCATTTGTATTTTACATCAAAGACTATACTGCCACATTAATCAATCTATTCTACCCACGAAAAACAAAAACAATCATAAGATCCAAAGCTGCTGGTTCCTCTTATACATTAAGTAAGGAAAAACAAAATTTACACTTTAGACACGTCCTTACCATCATCACTTAAAAGAACAATATTTAATGGTTACTTTTAGATTATCATTTATAAGTAACACCAGAATTTCACACAAATAATACTTTGAACCTACAAGCAAACACATGAGACAAAGGTTAAGACTCTAAAATGGCAGCTTGTGCAAGACTTTGAACAATTACCAAAAATGCCACATATTAAGAAAGTAAGATATTGGAAGAATTACAACAAGTGCCAGATAAGGATGAAATTAGTCAAAACCCTAACAACGCTTGCAAATCATAAGCAACATATTGTGTAGTAATTGTTTGAACAATTTTACATGGTTTTAACGCAACTACAAAAGAGATTCTATAAATCATCTGAAGTGACAAATTGTCTAGCTAGCTAGAAGAGAATTACAAAGAACATTGGATTATTGTATCTTAACCAAATTAAAGAATTATTATCAAGAATATATCATTGAAAAATAATAGTTACAAAATCATGAAACATTAATTTTCTCAGGGAAATTAATTTAAACAAGGAAGTAAACTTTTGCAAAGCTGTTTTCATCAAAGCGCAAAATGAGCTAACTTTAACAATTTGAATACCCATATAGGAGGCCACGAAGTTGGAAAGGCAAATATTCAAAAAAATAAATAAATAACAAGGAAAATATGTGGTTTGGATATATGCAACAGACTTACTCACAAAAAAATTATTTTTTCTTTTATTTCTTAAATAGCTATAGATTTCACCACCGCCAAAGTTTATATCATATAAAGTTTATAAATTTTTCATTTCAAAATGTTTGATGAAGACACATTTGATTGAAGGAATAGATTGACTTCAGATGAGATTTGTGAGGAATATATATTTAATAATGGAGAAATGAGCAAATTACCCCCTAAATTTTAGGTTCAGTTGTACTATATATTCTCAACTTGTTTATTGTACAAGTTGTTCACTCAACTATTGAAAACAATGTAATATAGCCCCTACCATTAATAAAAGTAACTTTGACCATTAGTGGACGATAATATTATAGAAAAGGATTTTAAAAATTATCAAAAATGACCAAAAAGATTTTTTGATCCTTTTTTGTAATTTTTGTCCTTGTTTGTAATTTTTAGGTTCTTTTATATAATTTTTGATGTCATTTTCTTTCATTTTCTAGTCGCTAACTGTCAAAACTAACTTTTGTTAATGGCAAGGATAAGACTGTATTATTTTTAAAAGTTGAGCAAATAATTTGCACAATAAACGAGTCTAAAGTCCATGGTGCTAAGGACCTAAAGTTCAGGATTTGCTCATTTATTCTTTAATAATTAATCACCAATATGAAATATCTTCTTGACCACATTGCTTCTGTTCTATATTATACGCAGTTGACGAACACACCACGTCACCAATAACAAGCCACAAAAATAACACAAAATTGATGAAAAGTTAAACATTATGATTAGTTGAAAGTATACCTTCTATGTTAATTTTTACCAATATTTTTTGGTATTTGACCAAACAACTTGTTACCACTTGCGAATATTTTTTCCTTCATTTCTATTTTATAAAAAATAATTCATTATTTAATTATTTTAAACTCTTAGCATATCTTCCTGCATCCCACAGTTTTAAAACATTCTCTCTCAAAGAAGTGTCTTAAAATAAGTGATCTTTTTCCAAAAAAAAAAAACAGCTGAAACAAATGGGCCATTATCTCTTAAAATTCTTAATAATTAACTAAGTGAAAACAACCAAAAAGAGTAAATAGTTTGGATGTGTAAAAATGTGATATACCTTAAAATATTTAATCTAAATATTTAACCAAAAATTTTATTATAAAATAAGATATACTTTAAAATATTTAATCTAAATATATTATGTCATTGAGACTTATGGGGGTTATAGTAAGAAGAACCTTTTAAAAAATAGAAGACTAAAGTTGTGATGATAGAATTATCAACCAAATTTCAAAAGTTATAAACTAACTCTTTATATAATTATATATTTGTCTGTATATCAATATAACAAAATAAAAAGTACAAAACTATGACAGTTGATATATATGTTTAAAAGTTGCATCTCGATTGTGAATGTTAGATTTCGTGATCGGCTTATGCTTCTATTGCCTAACGTACAATGTCATTTTTGCTTGTATTAGAAGACATATTAGGGTGGGGAAGTTAAAAAAGAGACATGGACCAATATTTACTTAAAATTCTTTTTATTTAATTTTTAAATTAGAAAATTTGCATTTAAATCCCAAGAAATTTTTATAAAATTTAAAATTAAAACTTACAAAAATACTCATCTTTTTTTAATAAAATACCCTTCCTTTATTAAAATTCGATTGTAGTAAATATGCTTGATTTTTAATTTCATTAAAATCCTTTGAAATTAAAAATGAAGCATATTGTTGCTAGTTCTAATAGGATGGGTGTCTTCACCATCACTTCCTTCGCCTTATCTACTAGGTAAAATTATTTGGCTGATCTCTCTTATGTTGTTGCTGATTCTATTTTTGCCTTGTTTCTTTCCTTGTTTTGTTGCTTTGTTGTTGTTTGCAGTTTCAGTTGTACTGTACTGATTTATTTGCCTTAGGAATATATCAGCAGTTGGGGGAAAAAAAGTCCCTTGAAATTTAATGAAAGTTTCCGTACAAGAGACCTAACTGAAATTATCCCCTTTTATATTTGAAATCATTGTAACAGGTTGAGTTCTCAATGACGACATTATAAAATATTACGAATTATGTATAAAAATATAATCCATTTTTTTTGTGAAAAAAAAAATTTATACTAGACTTATACATTTTGGGATGTATAATAAATAGCATTTTGACAAAACCGATTAGCATCTAAATTCATAATTTCAATGGCAAGAGACAAGAAGTAAGAAAATAGAAATAATCTATAGTGAATTATAATTTGAATAAAAATTATACCTTATAAATTATTGGAACCAAGATCTAATTCCTGAAGCAAAACCAAACTTCCAATGCTTGTAGGTATGTAGCCAATGAGTTGATTATAACCCAAGTACATAATTTTAAGACTCGTAAGATTGGCAATTTCATTTGGAATACCTCCTGCATTGTGTATGAGTGCAGAGAATTATGTTTATCAAAATTATGTTTAACAAAATTATGTTTATCGCGATAACAAATAAAAACACTGATATGAGTGCTTGTGTATATATTGTAGAAAATCATAGAAATACAATATAACTTTATGTTGATGATCATGGACAACATATGTTGTATAAAAAAAATCATATAAATTTAAAAACCATTAAAAAACTATCTCTTGCATTATGGCTCCAAGAACCCAAATGAAAAGGACAAAACTAATAAAAGCATCCAAAATATATTTTTTTCCTTGCAGTGCAGAGAATACTAAATGATATTAATACACTATGTTGTGTTGAAAGCTTAATGACGGAGTTACCAATATCACAACAAATTAAAACTATATATACTTTGTAGATTCATTTATTGCTCCCTACTCAACATAATCAATATATATATATATATATCCCATTCCCTTCTCCAACAAAATCAATGTTGAATAAAATATTGTAAATAGCTTATTCTAAGACATTCTAGCATGCACTAAATTTTTTGAAATGATTTAGAGAAAATATATGAATTTATCTTATATTATTAAAGACACACCTATTAAGGAGTTGCATGACATCAATTCAAGTGAGGATAAGCTAGAAATAGCTTGAGGTATTTTTCCTGAAATATCATTCCTTGCTAAATGTAAAATCTTTAAATCTCGAACCCTTCCAATCTCAAGTGGAATAGATCCATGGATGGAATTAAAATTTGAATCCAAGATCTCTAATTTTGACTTGTCTAATACCAATAGCAACTAATGATGACATAACCACAAGAAAAGTCATGGTTTTCTAAACAGACTGGGCCATCCAATTCCACCTATTATATTAGGAACTAGCTCTTAGTTTAGTCCTCTACAATCTTTGAAACCAAACACTCAAAGATAGGGACATCTAAAGGAGTTTCAGGTCCTAACACAAAATTATTTTAGAGGTCTAATGTGTTGTTATTTTGCCACTTCAAATTCTATAAAAATTAAAACAATCACAAATAAAGGGTAAAAGAGGAACAAACACACCTAATATACATGGCCATCTATTATTGGATTTCTTTATTCTTTTAATAGAAGTGCAAAACTCCTATGAACAAATAAAAGGATTTGTAGACTTCATAATGACAAATGAAAAATTAAGTTATCAATCAAGCCGTGCCTATGGAAACAACTAAGTAAGAGCTATATTTTTTTAATAATAAAATTTTGGTAGAGCAAGAAATGATCTGGTTGAGAGAAAAGAAGAGGTGAAATGACAAAGTGGTTGTGGCAGAGTATATGCAGCCATAAATTTTTAATGAAGAGATATAATTAACATTAATGCTTAGTAAAAAATTAATTATTGGTTATCTAAGATAAAAAAAAGTAAGTAATAAATTCTTAATGAAAATATATAATTAACATTAATGCTTGATAAGAAAAAGAATGACCGATTATATAGGATATTAGTGAACATTTTTTAGGCCTAAGACGTCAGCCTTAATGGACTGGTGTTGCACACGGCCCTACTGATAGAACCAATGAAATACTAGGAAAGTGATAAAATTGCAAATGAATTCTTATATGATAGATGACGTGGTTAACTATTAAGCATTACTAAGAAAAATAAATCAATAACAAATTTCAAAGTCTCTTTCTCTTTCTTACACCTTTGCACAACACCTTAAATACAAATAAATAAAATCTGGCACTGTGTATAGCCATATATGTTTACCTCTGTTTTTGGCTCTTAAAACAGAGATAAATAGAATCATAATTCATTATTTGCTTTAGGGACTGATTCTTAGAATTTGGTAAAACTATAGGGATTAAAGTTTTATAATTTTCAATTTTTTACTTCTTATTTACCATTTAAGAGAAATAACTGAGGTGGAGACTTTATATTTTAATACTGATGCACTGCATTTTAACATTATCACTCAAATGAATATGTTTCAACTCTAATATTACATTTAATTAATGGTATTTTTTCTAGAAAGCTATTAGCATTTAAATTTATCATTATTAAGTTTAAAAAACGAAACAACAACACAAAGGAAACAAAAAATTGATGATACCAAATTACAATTTACTAATAGTATACCTTGTAAGTTATTGTAACCAAGATCAAATTTTTAAAGCAAAATCAAATTTTCAATGCATCTTAGTACTTGAAAAATAACGGTAGTCTAAGAATTATCTGTCAATAATTTTCTTAGGGGAAGTTAATTTGAACAAATTGTGCTAACTTTGATAATTTGAACACCCATATCGGAGAATATGGAATTGAAAAATGTAAGTCTTCACAAATCAATAACAATATTATATGCTCATATCTATTTTTAACAAAAAAAAAATAGAGGTAAACAGAGTAATATTTCTAAACAATATCAGACAAATCTTCACACGTTATATATATATATATATATATTTTCATTCTTCATTTTTTAGTACATGTTTATTGAGCTTCGCATAACTTAGAAAAATATTTTAGAGCATAGTGCAGTGATGGTTCACACAGGTCCCTCACAATCATTTACTTTTTTTTTAATATTTCTTTCTATATGTTTAAAATATTGCACTTCAACATGCATGCATGTAGACAAATATTGCCTACGAATAAAAAAATTGCTGCAAGTTATTTTTGGGAATGCATCTTGCAATATAACAACAAAAACATACAAACACTTTTTCATAAGTACAGACATTGCTATATGTTTGCTTATGCATAAATATTTTATTAAAGAAAAAAAATGAAGATCACTTATATCATTTGCTGAAACAGTACTTTGTAATTTATTAGATGAAAGATCCAAGCCTTCAAGCATAATCAAATTTCCAATACATATTGCAAATGAGTTTTGAAGCATAAAGAATTATCCAGATTCTCTAATTTTATCTTAGTGGCGCTAAATTATTTTTATTTGTATTTTAGGTAGGAATGTTAAAAAGAGAGAATGAAGCTTTCCAACTTGAGTAGCAGATTTCGCTTTATTATTATTATTATTATTTTGGCCTTGAAATTCACATTTAATTTTTTTGGGTGAAATCACATATTTGATTTGAGGTAAAAGGAGTTTTTTACAAGATTGTATTATTCATTTGACAAATTAAAAGCCACGGGCTTAACTAGTAAACTTATTCTTGTTTTTATGTTTGGCCAAAAAAACTTTTATCTCAATTATTGAACAAACTATGACAATGATTGGGCACTTACAATACTTCAACATTAGTATATAAATCTATATTTAAACACATTTTAAATATTATCTCCAATTTGAAATTCTAACGAGGGTCTAAATAATAATTATGTGAATAATAACTTTCACTTCAGGCAAACTTTATATAAAAAAAATTATATATTCAACATCATTCCACAATTCTCTCTCTTTTTTTTTATATTTTTTCTCAAAAATTAGATTTTCAAACAAGCAACAAAGACCCACTTTTGAGATTGAGAGAAGAGAAGTCAAAAGAACATAAGATAACAAAAACAGTAAAGGAGAAGTTGAGATAGAGCAATAAATTAAAGACATAGACAACCCATAATCTGATAGTTCGAATTAGAAGGAAAATCTTCAATGAATTGATTATTGAAAAATAAATAGAAGAAAAAGAAACTATTGAGAGACTTAAATGAAAAGAGCATGGATTTGGAAGGGTAAATCTTCATGTAATCAATAACAGTATTGGATGCTTACCTCTATTTTGTAGTCCAAAAAACAGAGTAATACAATTCCATATTTGAAGGACAACAAAGTGTTGTAAATTTCACAACACAATTATGTGCATGTAAGCAGCAAATCTAAATGTGTAACTGAGGGCTCTAAAGTACATTGACCAATGATGGTGAAGATATAAATGTAAATAATGCCCTTCTTGTCGCAGCATAGGAAGGTAGAAATTGTTGCATAAATAATTAGATAAATACAAAAAAGTGCATTGTTGCGTACTCGCATTGTTTTGTGCAAAGGCGGGGGAGGGAAAGTGGTGTAGATTAGGAATGGAATCAATGGCATTTAACAAGAGTAAACAAGTAAGTTCAAATTGCTAAGATGCACTTTTTAATAAATAAAAATGTATTTTAGAATCTTTGATATAGTATTTTTTAAAAGAGTTAAAAATTAAATTTAATTGTGTATTTTTTAAAATTATGTGATGGCTCATGTAATATTAATAAAATTAAATATAAATGAATATAGTTCACTCTCAAAATGAATCATAAATAATATGAAAATTTTCTAACAATAGATCAAAATTCACAAAACACTTTGATCATAAAGACTTACATATATAAAAAAATTAGAATTACTAACAATAATTATGACAAAGAAAATTAATTAAGATGTCTTTGTAAAATCAAGTTTTTAATTAAGAAATTTAATTTAAATTCAGGCATATGAGATGCCTTCGTAAGGAGAGATAGATTTTGTAATTTTAAAGTTTCATGCAATGTGTTAAAATGATACAATATAACTTTATGAGATGATTAAGGCCAATGCTCAGCTAGGCATCGTCTTTCAAGTTTATAATTTTTTTTATTTAATTTCAAGAATCATCCAATTCTTATAAAATATTTCATAGAATGTGCTTACAAAAATATGTTTATAATTATTATTCACAAAAAACGTGAAAAGGAAAAAATAATCATATACTTATAGTTTGATGATTACTGTCCCAATTTTCAAAATAAAAATATAACCCGTGACACATGGAAGTGGATGCCCTCCTACAGTGCCAATTGCATGCAATTTTTTTCTCCCCTTTTTTGTGTCTATATGCATTCAACGTTACACTCTTAATATAATATCACAAGCTACATGTAGCCAGGAAAAAAAAGATTAGATCATAAAAAATAGTTATTTTTTCTATATAACATGCAAGTTGAATACTAAAATAATTTCTTTAATATTATACTTATTTATGTCAACGTGTAATTATTTGAAGAAAAGGAAAGAACAGTTTTTTGGGTTTATATAGTCTTTAATGTTTCAAAATATATTTTATTGAGCTTCACATAGATTCAAAAATATTAATATTGAACGGTGATGGTCCACATAGGTTCTTCACAATTATGTAATTTTAATTCACATAATGCATGGATATCATATTGGAAATATATGTAGTTATATTGATAACTATTTTTAAAAAAGGGAAATGGTGCTTGTTTTGTGTCAGAACATTACTAAAAGATAACAGAAAATATTGAAGAATTTAAAAAAATGTCTAGGAAGCTCAACAAAATATTAATTTTATGAATTAATGTGCGAATCAATAAAGGCACATCCATTTTCCTCGCTATGAACGGAGCTTCGTTTGTTCCAATCAAACAAAATGCTCCACACGACATCCTAAACCGCATTTCTATATTTATTGGAAAATAAATTGTTTTTGGCCAACCGGAACTAATATTTTATGGAAAAGAAATTTTTTTTAAAGAATTGTTAAAAAAGAAAATTTCGCCCATACACATTTATTAAAAAAAGGTAAAGTAGGAAAAAAAATGCATGGCTCTTCATAGTAATAATGAGAAAACAATTAAAGAGAGGAAAAAACCTATCGTAGCCAGAATATCATAATTTGATGAAAAATTTACCTTGTAAATTATTATGTTCAAGACCTAGCACTTGAAGCATATCCAATTTTCCAATACCATTTGGTATATCACCTACAAAAGCAAAAAAAAGTTAACGCTGAAAGGTATTGAATTTAAATTGGTCACAGGTATATCTATTGAGAATATTTCCCATGCATGTGATAAAGACACAAAAAAGAAGGCATATTAATCCTATGAGTGTCTATATATGATGAATCTTTTTTACCAAGTCTAACAACACATGCAAATTATAGGCAACATATTGTGCAATAATTGTTTGAAAAATTTTACATGGTTTTAACGTAACTACAGAAGAAATTCTAAAACATCTAAAGTGACAAATTGTCTAGCTAAAAGTGGATTACAAAGAACATTGGATTATTTTATCCGAACCAATTTAAAAAATTATTATCATCACTATGGCATTGAAAAATAACAGTTACAGAACTACCAAACATTAATTTTCTCAGGGGAAATTAATTTGAACAAGGAAGCAAACTTTTGCAAAGCTGTTTTCATCAATGCACAAAATAAGCTAACTTTAATAATTTGAATACCCGTAGAGGAGGGCAAGAAGTTGGAAAGGCAAATCTTAAAAAAAAAAAATCAATAACACAGAAAAAATGTGTTTTGGATTTATATGCAATAGACTTACCCATAAAAAGAGTAAATTATTTTCTTTTATTTTTTAAATAGCTAAATAGATTTCATCACCACCAAAATTTATATCATATAAAGTTTATAAATTTTTCATTGCTAAACAGAAATCACTAAGACTTTAGAGGAATTATGGTATTTAGAGGAACCTAAGTGTTATTTTTATACTTCAATGGGATTTTATTGCCATTTTTTCAAGTTAATATGTTGTTAATATGTTTTTATTTTTATACATTTATATTTATAAGTTTTATATTTGCTTTTAGAATATCTAGGCGAGGTGGGTTTGGGGGCTCACCAGGCTGAGAGAAGCCTTCCTCAAAAATTACTTACAAATGTACTTATAGATCGTCCACCAACAAGGTGTTTATAAGTTTTATATTATTATACACCATCAATTATGTAATAACATTTCTCTCAAATCATAAAATTAGTAAATCACTTTTAAAAATATCAATACTAGAACTTAAATGGAAAATTCAAATATATACCACAGTTTATGTATATATTTATATATTTTTTTTAAAAAAAATCTCCCACCCACCTTTGATTCTCATTTCAGCCCCAATTCAAAATAATGGAGATAGCTTAATAATTTGGTTGTCTTTACAAATTGTTTTTTTTTTCATGCCATCTATAAAATTCTGACGTGTGAAAAGCTATCCGTTGGATAAATTGATTACATATTTTATGACCAGTCATCATATGTTTGATTTATTTTAGTGGCGGATCCATATATGATATAGCTTGAACTTGTTTTTTTGGCATTTCATGCTAAAGATTAATTTTTGTTTAAATAAAGCCCAATATATGCCATGCTGCCACTCTAATCATTTTTTAAAACCCAATTAGAATTTGATTTCTCACCCGCTTATTCCTCTTATTAAAATTCTAATGCTGTTTATAGCCAATAAGAGCAAAATTGACTGTGATTGATAAGTAACAAAATTGGCTAAAACAACGTTGAATTAGACGTTGGATCCATCCAAACTTTACTTTCTATTTATATATTAACATAACATTATGTATTCTTTCAGGTCCATTTGTTAAAGATTAAAAAATACATCATTATTAGATAACTTAGGGATTTTATAAAAGAATTATTTTGTAAAAATTTTATAAAAAACATACATTACTTTATGTTTCGTTACAATAATAAAAAAGTAATCATTGATTAGTTATTTTTAAATTTTATAATATCTTTATTTATTTTTTAAAAATAATTTATTATTTAATTATTTTAAAATCTTAGTATATCTTCTTGCATCTCACATTTTTAAAACATTCTTTCTCAAAGTAGTTTCTTAAAATAATCAAAAAAATTTCTTTTCTGTTCTAATTATTTTCAAAAATTTAAACAAACATCATTAAAATCATAAAATAATTCTTTTCAAAAAAATAAATTTCTTCACAAAATAAGCTGAAACAAACGGGGCCTTTTATCCCTTAAAATTCTTATAATTAACTAAGTGAAAAAAATGAAAAAGAGTAAATATTTTGGAAAAGTAAAAATGTGATATACTTTAAAATATTTAATCTATATATTTAACCAAAAATTTAATTATAAAATATGATATACTTTAAAATATTTAATCTAAATATATCAAAAATTTAATTATAAAATATGATATACTTTAAAATATTCAAACTAAATATATTATTTCATTGAGATTTATGGTAATTATATAAATAGAACCTTTTAAGAAAAGGTAAGACTACAATTGTGGTGATAGAATTATCAAGAAAATTTCAAAAGTTATAAACCAACTTTTTATATAATTATGTATGTGTATCAATATAACAAAATAAAAACTACAATACTACAAGTGTTGATATATATGTTTAAAAGCTGCACCTATGAATGATAGATTTTGTGCTTCTATTACCTCATGTGCAGTGTCATTTTTGTTTGTATTTGAAGAGATATTAAGTGGGAAAGTTAAAAAAGAGACGCGTGCCAATATTTAGTTAAAATTATTTGTATTTAATTTTTACATTAAATTTAAATTAGAAAATTTGCATTTAAGTCCCAAGAAATTTTTATAAAATTAAAAATTAAAATTTACAAAAATACTCATCTTTTTTAATAAAATGCCCTTCCTTTATTAAAATTGGATTTAGTAAATATTCTTGATTTTTAATTTCATTAAAGTCCTTTGAAATTAAAAATCAAGCATATTGTTTTTGGTTCTAATAGGATGGATGTCTACTAGTTAAAATTAGTTGGCTGATCTATCTTATGTTGTTGTTGATTCTGATTTTTCTTTGCTGCTTTCCTTGTTTTGTTGCTCTGTTGTCGTTTGCGGTTTCAGTTGTACTGTACTGGTTTATTTGCCTTAGGAATATATCAGCAGTTGGAAAAAGAAAAAGACCTTTGAAATTTAAAGAAAGTTTCCTTGCAAGAGACCTAACCGAGATTATCCCCTTTTATATTTGAAATCTTTGTAACAGGTTGTGTTCTCAATGACATTATAAAATATTACAAATTATGTATAAAAATATAATCCAATTTTTGTTTTGCGAAATATTCTAGACTTTTACATTTTGGGGTATATAATTAATAGCATTTTGACGAAAAAGATTAGCATCTAAGTTCATAATTTCAAGTTGCAAGAGACAAGAAGTAAGAAAAAAGAAATAATCTATAGTGAATTATAATTTGCATAAAACTTATACCTTGTAAATTATTGAAACCAAGATCTAATTCCTGAAGCGAAACCAAACTTCCAATGCTTCTAGGTATGTAGCCAATGAGTTGATTTTGAGCCAAAGACATAATTTTAAGATTTGAAAGATTGGCAATTTCATTTGGAATATCTCCTGCGTTATCGCAATAACAAATAAAAACACTGATATTAGTGCTTTTGTATATATTATAGAAAATCATAGAAATACAATATAACTTTATGGAGATGATCACGGACAACATATGTTGTATAAAAAATCATATAAATTTAAAAAACATTAAGAAGTATCTCTTGCATTATGGCTCCATGAACCCAAATGAAAAGGACAAAAATTAATAAGAGCATGCAAAATATTTGTTCCTGGCAGTGCAGAGAATACTAAATGATGTTAATACACTATATTGTGTTGAAAGCATAATGACAGAGTTACCAATATCACAATAAATTCAAATTATATATAATTTGTAGATTCATTTATTGCCCCCTACTCAACATAATCAATATATATATATACCCCATTCCCCTCTCCAACAAAATCAATGTTGAATAAGATAGTGTAAATAGCTTATTCTAAGACATTCTAGCACGTATTAAATTTTTTGAAATGATTTAGAGAAAATATATGAATTTATCCAATATTATTAAAGACACGCCTACTAAGGAGTTCACTACTACAAAATAAGTTTACAGGAGCGCTTTTTTTTTACTTTAGGGAGCGCTTTTGAAGCGCTCTCATATCGAGCGCTCCGAAATGTATAGGAGCGCTTAAAAAAAGCGCTCCTGTATATACGCTATACGGGAGCGCTTTTCGAAAAGCGCTCCTGTAAGGGAGCTACATACGGGAGCGCTCTCTACAAGAGCGCTCCCGTATGCAACCATACCGGAGCGCTTTTATAAAGAGCGCTCCAGTATGAACCATATAGGAGCGCTCTTTGGAAGAGCGCTCCTGTATGTTACTTTACAGGAGCGCTTTTCAAATGAGCGCTCCCGTATATTACTTTAATTTTTTTTAAATTAGATTTTTTGAAATTTCTCCTTTTACGTCTCTTTAATAATGACAAATCATAATATCAAAAACTAATTTAAAAATAATATTAACATAAAAATTTATATACAAGAAAAGAATTTGAAACTGATACAAAAATTTTAATTTCCTAACTAACCTAGTTTAATTTCTAACAAGCCTAACAAATGAAACTATTGTTATTTTTCTAACATTGAAATCTAACTTCCTATCACAAACAACCAATAATATATTCTAACAACTCTTCAACTAAATCTTCTATTTGCTCCATAGTAAAATACGAACATCTTACTCCAACAAAATACTACACAAGATATGAAAGCAATATATAAGGAATTAACATTATATCAACTTAATTTTAAAGTTTTTGACTTACATTTTCAGGAATGATCAACTCTTGTTGTGTGATTACTTCTCTCATAAACTTCATAACATAGTATCCACACTCCCAACCTTGTAATTGTGTAGGTACCTATAAAACAATAAAAGATGTCATTATCAAAATATGGTGAAAATAAATTCTAACTTAATTTAAAATACTTCAGCGATAAAGTTATATATATGAATCATTTCATCAAGACGGTCAACATCATATGTCCCATTATCACGATCAAATGTTGAGTAGCTCGCACTATCCCTCCAATCATTTGCATCATTCCTTGTCTCCCCATGCATGGTTCAACAAGTATAAGTTGGATCAATCCCATTACAGATTAAATGATCTTTCAATTTTATTGGCTTTACTCTTTTTCCATAGCAACATTTCAAACAAGGACATATGACTCCAAGGGGGTCTTGATCACAACAAAATGCAAATTCAATGAATTCATCCACACCATCCCAATATTCTCTAGATAGTTGATTAGCCGACATCCACTTATGATCCATATCACTAATATGATTATCAAAATTCAATAAACAAAAGACTTAGATTTCTATAAAAAAAATTCAACAACATCTTCCTTAAAAGAAGAACCTCCCAAATGATCAAACAATCAAATTCCACAACACAATACATTTAAACTCAAAAAATTAATTCATCCAAATAAAAATTTAGTAGCATAATGCATCTAAATTCTGTCAATCAATTGTAATTTAATTAATAACAATAATCTCCCTTAAAAGTATATTTCATAAATAAAATAAAAATGTTCAAGTAGTTTTCTCAACTTTAATCTAATTATCAACTACAAATACTCCATAATTCTAATATAAATAACTCCAATTCATATATTATCTATAATATTGATTATTAAAAAAATATATATATGAAATTTATTCTCAAATATATATAAATATATCAATATATTACATTATAAATTAATTATTAAAAAAATACCTTCACAGTGTAGTCTTCACGGCAGAAAACGGAAGTCTTCACGGCAGTAGCGGAGGTCTTTGCAGCGTTGCTTCCTCGGCTGTACAGCAATGACACACAGCTACAACGGAGGTCTTCATGGTGTCACTTCCTCCGGTGTACAGCAGCCGCACAAATCTGGAACAGCAATGTAGATCTAGAATAGTGATGCAGGAGATGGCGGTGACGGCGACGGCAGCGCAAAAACAGAGACAGATGGCGCAACATGACACAAAAATGAACAAACAGTGATGAACACTAATCTGGAACAACGAGCAGCAGCAGACGATGATTTGGAACAGCGAACAGTGGCGAACGACGATCTGGAACAGCGAACAGCGGCGGACGACGATCTGGAACAGTGAACAGCGATGGAAGATAGACTGATACAGCGATGATCTAGAACTCGTTGGGAACGCACAACCTCAGCAAATGAGAGAGAGGTTTGAAAGAAACTCATAAATAGGGAAAAGAAAACTGACGGGAGGCAGAGATATAAAAGACCACCTCTTCCGGAGCGCTCATGAATGAGCGCTCCAGAAGAGGTGGTCTTCCGGAGCGCTCTTCAAAGAGCGCTCCGGAAGATCTCTCTTTCGGAGCGCTCTTTGATGAGCGCTCCGGAAGAACAACTCTTTCGGAGCGCTTATTAAAAGAGCGCTTCGAAAGATGAGCTCTTTCGGAGCGCTCATTCCAAGAGTGCTCCGAAAGAGTTGATCTTCCGGAGCGCTCTTTGAAGAGCGCTCCGGAAGATAGTCTTCCGGAGCGCTTAACTACGAGCGCTCCCGAAGGTCTTTTTAAATTTTTTATAATATTTTATTTATATTAATTAGGAGCATTATCTTATTGAAAAGCCCTGACATACAGGAGCGCTTTTCTAAAAAAGCGCTCTGGTAAATTCCGCATTTACATTTTAGAGCGCTTTTTAAAGAAGCGCTCCTAAATACCCGCTCCTAAAGATATATTCTGTAGTAGTGGTTGTATGACATCAATTCAAGTGAGGATAAGTTAGAAATAGCTGGAGGTATTTTTCTTGAAATATTATTCATTGCTAAATATAAAATCCTTAAACATTGAAGCCTTCCAATCTCAAGTGGAATAGATCCGTGGATAGAACTAAAATTCCAAGCCAAGGTCTCTAATTTTGACACATTTGGGGACAATTGAAACTAATGATGACATAATCAAAAGAAGTCATGGTTTTCTAAACAAATGGGGCCATCCAATGCCACCTATTGTATTAGGAACTGGCTCTTGGTTCAGTCCTCTACAACCTTAAAAACCGAAAACTCAAAGATAGGGATATCTAAAGAAGTTTTAGGGCCTAAGGTGACACTATTTTAGAGGCCTATTGTATTATTATTTTACCAATTCAAATTCTATAAAAAATTAGAACAATAATAAATACAGGGTAAAAGAGGAACAAACACACCGAATATATATGGCCATCTACAATTGGATTTCTTAATTCTTTTAATAGAAATGCAAAACTCCCATGAACAAATAAAAGGACTTGTGGACTTCATAGTGACAAATGGAAAATCAAGTTATCAATCAAGCCGTGCCCATGGAAATGGCTAATCAAGAGCTATTTTTTTAATAAGAAAATAATGGTAGAGAAAAAAATGATTTGGTTGTGAGAAAAGAAGAGATGAAATGGCAAAGTGGTTGTAGCAGAGTATAGGCAGCCATAAATTTTTAATGAAGTATAATTAACATTAATGCTTAGTAAAAAATTAATTATTGGTTATCTAAGATAAAAGTAAGTAATAAATTCTTGATGAGAATATATAATTAACATTAATGTTTACTGAACAAAAGAATGACCGATTGTATAGGATATAAGTGAATACTCCCTCCGTCCCAAATTATAAGACACTTTTAAGGAAGATTCAATATCTCAAAATATAAGACACTTTGATGAAAATAAGGTTTTATTAATGATATTTTTTTAATATTACCCTTCTCATATATTCTGTCTTTTCAATATTCTTTCATCAATAGAGTATTAAATGAAAGGCATTTTTGAAAGTTTATATTTTTGTCCTGAAAAAGTAAGGTAATAAAGTATATTTGATGAGTTTTATTATTATGTGAGATTTTATCCAAAAGTGTCTTATAATTTAGGATGGAGGGAGTATTTTTTAGGCCTAAGACAACAGCCTTAATGCATTAGTGTTACACACGGCCCTACTGATAGAACCGATGAAATACCAAGCAAGTGATAATATTGTAAATGAATTCTTATATGATAGATGATGTGGTTAGCTATTAAGCATTACTAAGAAAAACAAAACAAGATCAATAACCAAATTTCAAAGTCTCCTTCTCTTTCTTTCACCTTTGCCCAACGCCTTAAATATAAATAAATAGAATTTGGCACTGTGTATAGTGGTATATGTTTACCTCTGTTTTTATCTCTTAAAATAGAGATAAATAGAATCATAATTCATTATTTTCCCTAGGGACTGATTCTTAGAATTTGGTAAAACTATGGGGATTAAAGTTTTATATTTGTTTTCAATTTTTTTCTTCTTCTTTACAATTTAAGAGAAACAACTGAAGTGAAGACTTTATATTTTAATATTGATGTACTCCATATTATCATTATCACTCAAATGAATATATTTCAACTCTAATATTACATATAATTAATGGTATTTTGACTAGAAAGCCATTAGAATTTAAGTTTATAATTATTAAGTTTCAAAAGACAAAATAACAACACAAAGGAAACAAAAAATTGATGATACCAAATTACAATTAACTAATAGTATACCTTGTAAATTATTGTGACCAAGATCAAATTTTTAAAGCAAAATCAAATTTCCAAAGCATCTTTGTATATATCCTTGAAAAGTAACAGTAGTCTAGGGATTATCAAACATTAATCTTCCCAGGGGAAGTAAATTTGAATAAAGTGCGCTAACTTTGATCATTCGAATACCCATATAGGAGAACATGGAATTGAAAATGCAAATCTTCACAAAATCAATAACAATATTATATGCTCATCTCTATTTTTAACAAAAAAAAAAATAGTGGTAAACAGAGTAATATTTCTAAACAATATTAGACAAATATGGTTGACGGATGGACCACATGACCAATGATAACATGCAAAAATAACACAAAATTAATAAAAAGTTATACATTATGATGTTGAAAGCATATCTTCTAAGATATTATCATCAAGATATAATTCCTGAAGCACAGTCAAGTTTTCAATGCTTCTTGGTATTTGGCCAGACAACTTGTTAATCTCTAGGTATATAATTTTCATGTTTGTGAGAGCACCAATTGTTTTTGGAATATCTCTTACATTATGATAATGAGAAAACCACATTATTATGAGTTCTCATGTACAAAATGATTATGATAAAAAAGAAAAATAAGTAACAATAATAATTTTATGAACGCATTCTTTTAAGCTTATTTTGATCAAAATATTATAAGTCCTGACTTTGTATTTAGAAAATAGGAAAATGACAAAGCTCTTAAACCAAGCAAATTACTTTACGCGTAGCTGCTAATTTGAGCTCTTTTTTAATTAATTTTCAACCCAATATTTTTGGACCAAATTTCATTAGCATAAATAGATAAATTTTGGAAGTGTACTTCTTTTCGGGTATGCTGGAACTGTACTTATTTATTATGGTGCATAATTGATTGAATAAAATAAAAAAGTGCATCATTATGTCGTGTGTTACATGCGTTGTTTTGTGCAAAGGCAAGGGAGAGTGATATGGTTAGGAATAGAATTAATGGTTTGGGCGAAGGGTATACTAGTAAGTTTAAATTGCCATGATTCACCTTGGAGAATCTTTGATAAATTACTTTCAACAGAGTTAAAAAAAAAACACAAAAGAAACTAAAGTGTATATTTTGAAAGGTATAGGTTGGCTTCATTAATATTAAGAAAATTAAAGATAAATGAATATATTTTATTGTTCTCTTTCATGCCAATGCGAACCTCCAACTTTTTGGTTAGATATACAGAATCCAGTACACTAACCAAAAAGCCAAATCCTTGTGGCTGAATATATTTTACTCTAAAAATAAATGATAAATAATATGACAAGTTTTTAACAATATATATCAAAACTCACAAAACATATATGAACAAATTTTGAATTGCTAACAATAACTATAATATAAAAAACGGGTGAAAATAGTGTATTGTATATATATATATATATATATATATTATACAAAGATATGAATAAAATATTAACTTTGTTGAATTTGTATCTTTACCATTCCTAAATCCTTAAAATGTTAATTTTTTTATATTCTTCATATAGTTTTTTTATTACTCACGGGTCTCTTCCTATTGAAGGCAATCATGTTTGATATATCGGCCAATAAAAATTAAAATGAAAATTCAAATACCATAGTTGATGTATATATTTATATATTAAAAAGATCTCCCACCCATCTTTGATTCTACTGCGCTGGTTCAAATGAAGATGGCTTGAAATGTAGTTACTTTTGAAAATGTTTTTTTTTTCCCACCCTATCAATAAAATTCTTGTGTGAAGAGTTGTTGATTGGATACAGTTAGAATGATAAGGACTATTGGGGAATAGATGGTAAATTTTAACTCAAGGAACAGTAAAAAACAACCTTGGAAGCCCATAATGAATGTTTAATTTTAATTAATTTATACCATTGCGATCATATTTGATTTACTGCCACATACTAATCAATCTATATAGCTCACAAACCTACAACAATATTTAATTATATGATCCAAAGCATGTTCCTCTTAGACATCAATCCCCCTTCAATCAGAAGTTGGTAATTCTGTGCCTTACACCTTTTTATGCATCTCAGTTGAAATTATAATGATGTTTATAGCCAATAAGGAAAATAAAAAACACAGAATTCATGTAAAAATTTACACTCAATACACGTTTCTTTGCTTCTGCTGACTTTTTATAGAACTCTTATTTTATGTTGTGTTTAGATTAACAAGGATTTGGATCAAATTCTTCATTTAGATATAAAAAAATTTACGGATCCAAATATATTTCTTATTATATTTCCTTTCTAATTTCAAATTTCCTTTACATGCTAATCATTTGAAATTTCAACCACTTCAAACATATTGTTTTTTTTTCTTTGTTTTCACTATTGATGTCTCTATGACTCTTGTATCTTTTTTTTTTTTTTTATCTCTCATTCTTGTCTTTCATTTGATTTTTTTATACTACTCAAACCAAGGATTTTAAGTACATGAATTTTAAATGTGAGATTTGAAATGCAAGATTTCAAATCTAAAATTTAAATTCAAATCCATCAATCCAATCATTATCATAATTCTTTAGTAGAGCTTCCCTTCACTCCTATCATCTATTTGCTACATATATCTATATATATATATGAACAATAAACAAAATTGATTGTGATTGATAATGAACAAAAATGGGCAAATGAAGGTTGAACGAGAGATTGTAATTAATAGCTTATCCTAAGATGCACTAACATCAACACAAAATTGCTTGAAATGACCTGGAGCAAATATAAATTTATCTGATATTATGAAAGGCATACCTTTTAAGGAGTTTGATGACAAAGACATCAGCTCAAGTGAGGATAAGCCAGAAATAGTTGGAGGTATATTTCTTGAAAGATTGTTCCCTGCTATACGTAAAATCTTTAAATGTTGAAGCCTTCCGATCTCAAGTGGAATAGATCCATGGATGAAATTGTGACTCCAATCCAAGGAGAATTTTGACAAATTTGATATGCTTGGAGGAATAACACCGTGAAAACTATTATCTCGAAAGCTCAGGCATTGAAGAGCAAATAAACTTCCAGTCCCGCAGGAATTTTCCCATCAAATTCATTATAGCTAAGGTTGAGAATTCTCAACTTATGTAACTGCAACAACTCCTTCGGTAACTCACCATGAAAGTTGTTACTATGAAGGGCAAGTTCAACAAGGGAGGACAAATTCCCCACTTGTGAGGGTAAGGTGCCCATGAGACTCATATGAGCAAGATTCAATACACTTACTCTCTCACCTTTAGAATCACAAGTAACCCCAACCCAATTGCAAATGGAGAAAGAGCTAGACCAATTAGCCAAGTGATTGAATGGGTCTCTCACAGAAATTTTGAGAGCAAGAAGTGCCAATTCATCATTTTTGGTGAAATTTTTGTGGCATAAATTGGACAGACCATGAGATAGCAAAGCAGTGAGAACATGAAGAAGGAAAAATGAAACCAAAGGTTCGCCATCATGAATTGGTTCAAGGCCTCTAATATTGAAGTGGATAGTGAAGAACGTCATGCCATATATACACACACATTGATAAGCACTGGTCTTCAACAATAATAATAAAAGTGGAATAAATTGTGAATCTAATAAAAGTATTCATATTTATGGCGGGAAAAGAAGTGGACTACTCAAATTCAGTCCAAGAATTAAATGTAATCATTTTTTAGTAGAGAGTACAGTTAAAAAAAAAAGAAATACTAAGAAAGATCCTGTTCATGAAATGAAAGTACTTCCATATAAATATAATTATAGCAAAAAAGAAGGGAGCCAATAAATTTTTCTCATTAAAACAAGTAATCTAAACTAAACATGGTTAACATAAAATCATGGAGCCCTTGTGATAATGAAAAGTCACAGCTGATTTAATATTTAGTTTAATTGGCAAATGGATTATGAGAATCCCTTAGAAACAATGACCACTATGATCAATAAAGGACTAACCATTTAATCTACCAAAGAACCAGAAAAATGAGACAGTGACTTCATCAAAGAGATCTTAAAATCATAAAAGTATAGATCTAATCATAGCCATGCCATCCCATTTTATATGAACAATAATACACAGATGAGATTGCGCTAAGCATGCTAACTATGAGATTTCTTCGCACCCAAGGCTCCATAGAAAGATTAATTCTCAAATACCTTTATTGTAAAAACCTGTAATATTTGTAAAACCTTTTGTCATTTACATACAAATGGAGAAACGGTTGTGATTCTGAGATTGCAATTGATATTATATATATATATACACATTCGATTGATTTTATACCATATCTTTTCATATTTAATTGCTGGATTAAATAGGAAATTTTATTATAAAATTCACCAACTTAATACTGCAATTACATATAAAAAGAAAAGGTATAAAATGAATAGTAAATTACAGATATATTTTTAAGTAAGATTGGAGTTATTGTGCCCCTTTCCCAACGCTAAAGATACTCAAGTTGACTTGATTTAAAGCGTTAGAATAGAAAAATAAGAGGAAATTCATTTTCTAGGGCTACGTCAATGATATGGAAAATGTCTAGCAAATTTCATCAACTATAGAACTCAATATATTTTAATATAAAGAAAAATGACAGAATAGTATATCTATATACGAATCGTCGATTAAAAATCTAATTATTTTTGTGAAATAATAAACTAATTACACTAAGGTTATCAAATTGTTGCCAGCCAAACACACAATGCCATTTCTTATTCTTATCTCAGAAATTTCTTTATTCCAAACAAGAAATAAAAACATACATAAATTGTAATTCTTTATGTCTTAATTTTCTTTTGACAGGGTCAAGAAAGAAAGCATTAGTCTTGTTGGCAGAAGAGAAAAGAAAAGAAAAGAAAAGTAAGGAAAAGAAAGCACTTGTTTCATTTCACCTCTGCCAATAATTTATTGATGGATTTGTTGTCATATAATCTGTCTCTAATGAAGGGCATATCCCATGTTCGTATGAAGGAGGTTGGCAAGACATGTCCTCTCTGCAAAGATGTGATGACAAATCACTATGACAGCTTATTCCATTTACTGGCTCCAGATAGATGGATCATTAGAATTACCTAATTGCCCCGGGTATCTTTTTCTTTTGTGGGAAGATATATGGTTTCATTAGGAAAAGCCAAAATTTATGGAGACGATAAAAAATAAATATACGAGTGCCCATTCGTAAATCCTTTGTCTCTTCTACTATATCAATAAATTGTGAAAAGACGTGGCAACAACTAGACACACAAAATTTCAAGAATGATGGTTACTCCCTCTGTCAATGAAAAATGAGATAGTGGCTTTATCAAAGAGATCTTAAAATCATAAAAGTATAGATCTAATCTTAGCCATGCCATCCCATTTTATACAAAACATAATACATAGATGAGATTGCTCCAAGCATGCTAACCATGAGATTTCTTCCTACCCAGGGCTCCGTAGAAAGATTAATTCCCAAATATCTTTATTGTGAAAACCTGTAATATTTTTAAAACCTTCTATTATTTACATACAAATGGTGAAACGGTTGTGTTTTTGAGATTGTAATCGATATTACATATATAAACATTCGATTGATTTTATACCATATCTCTTCATATTTAATTGCTGGATTAAATAGGAAATTTTATTATAAAATTCACCAATTTAATCCTGCAATTAAATATAAAAAGATAAGGTAAAAAATGAATAGTAAATTACAGATATATTTTTAAGTAAGATTGGAGTTTTAGTGCCCTTTTCCCAACGCTAAAGATACTCAAGTTGACTTGATTTAAAGCGTTAGTATAGAAAAATAAGAGGAAATTCCTTTTCCAGGGCAACATCAATGATATGGAAAATGTCTAGGAAATTTCATCAACTATAGAACTCAATATATTTTGATATAAAGAAAAATGATGAAATAGTATATCTACATACGCATCGTCGATTAAAAATCTAATTATTTTTGCAAAATAATAAACTAAATACATTAACGTTATCAAATTGTTGCCAACCAAACACACAATGCCATTTCTTATTCTTATCTCAAAGAATTTCCTTTATACCAAACAATAAATTAAAAGATGCATAAATTGTAATTCTTTATGTCTTAATTTTCTTTTGACAGGGTCAAGAAAGAAAGCATTAGCCTTGTTGGCAAAACAGAAAAGAAAAGAAAAGTAAAGTAAAGTAAAGAAAAGAAAAGAAAGCACTTGTTTGATTTCACCTCTGCCAATAATTTATTGATGGATTTATTGTCATATAATGTGTCTCTAATGAAGGCCATGTCGCATGTTCGTATGAAAGACGTTGGCAAGACATGTCCTCTCTGCAAAGATGTGATGACAAATCACTATGACAGCTTATTGCATTTACTGGCTCCAGATAGATGGATCATTAGAATTACCTAATTGCCCCGGGTATCTTTTTCTTTTGTGGGAAGATATATGGTTTCATTAGGAAAAGCCAAAATTTATGGAGACGATAAAAAATAATTATACGAATGCCCATTCGTAAATCCTTTGTCTCTTCTACTATATCAATAAATTGTGAAATGACGTGGCAACAACTAGACACACAAAATTTCAAGAATGATGGTTACTCCCTCTGTTAATGAAAAATGAGATAGTGGCTTTATCAAAGAGATCTTAAAATCATAAAAGTATAGATCTAATCTTAGCCATGCCATCCCATTTTATACAAAACATAATACATAGATGAGATTGCTCCAAGCATGCTAACCATGAGATTTCTTCCTACCCAGGGCTCCGTAGAAAGATTAATTCTCAAATATCTTTATTGTGAAAACCTGTAATATTTTTAAAACCTTTTATTATTTACATACAAATGGTGAAACGGTTGCGTTTTTGAGATTGTAATTGATATTATATATAAACATTCGATTGATTTTATACCATATCTCTTCATATTTAATTGCTGGATTAAATAGAAATTTTATTATAAAATTCACCAATTTAATCCAGAAATTAAATATAAAAAGTTAAGGAATAAAATGAATAGTAGATTACATATATATTTTTAAGGAAGATTGGAGTTATTGTGCCCCTTTCCCAATGCTAAATATACTCAAGTTGACTTGATTTAAAGGGTTAGTATAGAAAAATAAGAGGAAATTCCTTTTCTAGGGCAAAGTCAATGATATGGAAAATGTCTAGGAAATTTCATCAAATATAGAACTCAATATATTTTGATATAAAGAAAAATGACAAAATAGTGTATCTATATACGCATCGTCGATTAAAAATCTAATTATTTTAGTGAAATAATAAACCAATTAAGTTAACTCTGTCAAATTGTTGCCAACTAAACACACAATGCCATTTCCTATTCTTATCTCCAAGAAATTTCTTTATTCCAAACAAGAAATTAAAACATACATAAATTGTAATTCTTTACGTCTTAATTTTCATTTGACAGGGTCAAGAAAGAAAGCATCAGTCTTGTTGGCAAAAAAAAGAAAAGATAAGTAAAGTAAAGCAAAGAAAGCACTTGTTTCATGTCACCTCTGCGAATAATTTATTGATGGATTTGTTGTCATATAATGTGTCTCTAATGATGGCCATGTCACATGTTCGTATGAAGGAGGTTGGCAAGACATGTCCTCTCTGCAATGATGTGATGACAAATCACTATGACAGCTTATTGCATTTACTTGCTCCACATACATGGATCTTTAGAATTACCTAATTGCCCCCGGGTATGTTTTTCTTTTGTGGGAAAATATATAGTTTCATTAGCAAAAGCCAAAAATTATAGAGTTGATAAAAAATAAATATACGAATGCCCATTCATAAATCCATTGTCTCTTCCACTATATCAATAATTTGTGAAAAGACGTGGCAACAACTAGATACACAAAATTTCAACAATAATGGTTACTCCCTCCGTTAATTGAAAATGAGATAGTGGCTTCATCAAAGAGATCTTAAAATCATAAAAGAATAGATCTAATCTTAGCCATGCCATCCCGTTTTATATGAACAATAATATACCAATGAGATTGCTCGAAGCATGCTAACCATGAGAAATCTTCGCACCCAAGGCTCCCTAGAAAGATTAATTCTCAAATATCTTTATTGTGAAAACCTGTAATATTTTTAAAACCTTTTATTATTTACATATAAATGGAGAAACGGTTTTGATTTTGAGATTGTAATTGATATTATATATATACATTCGATTGATTTTATACCATATCTTTCATATTTAATTCCTGGATTAAATAGGAAATTTTCTTATAAAATTCACCTATTTAATCCTGCAATTAAATATAAAAAGATAAGGTATAAAATGAATAATAAATTAAAAATATATTTTTAAGTGAGATTGGAGTTATTGTGCCCCTTTCCCAATGCAAAAGATACTCAAGTTGGCTTGATTTGAAGTGTTAGTATAGAAAAATAAGAGGAAATTCCTTTTCTAGGTCTACGTCAATGATATGGAAAATGTCTAGGAAATTTCATCAATTATAGAACTGAATATATTTTGATATAAAGAAAAATGACAAAATAGTATATCTATATAC